TATTAGTCAATAAATGAAGTAGTGAATAGCACGGCATCACCCTTCATACTTTAATACTCTCCCTTACCATACAATAATGAATATAAAATTTGGGAGATAGAAAATTCAATAATAAACCTTACGTCAATAATGGATCCAAGATGCCAAACCTCAACTTCCAAATATACTTAACCATCACAATTAATTCATAAATGTGAAAAGAACGATCAATAAGAAATAAACTAATCTAAGCATGGATATCATAAGCAAAGTAGGCAATAAATTACAAGGAAACAAGTCCATCCGCATGTTTTAACCCAACAACGCATAAGTACTCGTCATCGCACATATACGTTATACCGAAACATTTAAACACGTAGCAAATAGGCAGACAAGTCATAATCCCTCAAGTCAAGATTAACCACAACACTTACCCCACTCTCCAATCAACTTAATCGGGGCCTTTCCTCTAGAATCTGCCTCCAAACCAATCGTATCTAACCATAATCGACTCGACAATATCAAATAATGCTAAGGGAATCAATTACAATACATAAAGTTAGAATTTTTACGCTTTTTCCAAAAGGTAAAAAATATAATCCCGAGCCCGCTTGGTCAAACCCGAGATTCGGACCAAAATCTATTTATCTATTCACCCCCGAGCCGGCTATGTAATTAGTTTTGAAATTCGACTCCAAATTAAGGTCTATATCCCGAATTTGCAAAAAAACCTAATTCTTCCTAAATCCCTAGTTTTCTACCATGGAAGAACAAAGATTAAGGCTAGATTAATGGGTGTTGTTATAAATGAAAGAAAATGAGTTAAAATATACTAACCTATGAATTGGTGATGACTTTTTTCTTCAAAATCGCCTCTAGGCCGACCACTAATAGAAAGATGGTGAAAAATGTGTGAAATTCCATTTTTGAAATGTTTAAATGACTGGGCATCACGTGCTCATTGTGATCGCGAGAAACCTGACACATTCGCGAAAAGCACTGCCTATTTGGCTTACGCGATCGCGAGGTACACTACGTGTTCGCTTAGGTTTAGTCCCTCACACCTCCCCGTTCATGAGCCTGGGTTCGCGTTCGCGTAGAGTAACACAATGGCCCCTCCACAGGTTCAAAGCCTCATGCGTTCACGAAGGGTAAGTCCCCCATTGCTCCACTTCCATGACCCAGCTATCGCGTTCGCGATTAAGGAAGTCCTCCCCCAGCCCAGTTTACTCTTCTCCATTGCGGGAGTACCTACGCTATCGCAAAGAAGAAGACACCAGATGACAGCAGAAGCTAAAGAAAACCAGAACTTTCTAAGTCAGAAACACCTGTAGCCTATCCAAAACTCACCCGAGTCCTCGGGCTCCAAACCAAACATGCACACAAGTCTAAAAAAATTATATGAACTCGCTCGCGCAATCAAAATACCAAAATAACACCTAGAAATATGAATCAGACATCAAAATGAATGAAATTTTCAGCGAAACTTAAGAACATTTATTTTAACAACGGGATGTCTAAACTACATCAAATCAACTCCGCTTTGCAATAAATTTTGCGGACAAGTTGTAAATATAGTAATGGACCTATACCAAGCTCCGGAACCAAAATTCGGACCCGGTAACAATAAAGTCAAACTTCAGTCAAATGTATAAGTTCTTTAAACCTTTAAACTTCAAATTTTCAACAAATTGAGAAAACTCGAGTTAGGGACCTCCGAATTTGATTCCGGACATATGCTCAAGACCCAAAATACAATACGGACCCACCAGGACCATCAAAATAAGGATCCGGGTCCGTTTGTTCAAAATATTGACCGAAGTCAACTCAAATAAATTTTTAAGACACGAATTAACATTTTAATTAATTTTTCATATAAAGCCTTCCAGAAAAAGACACCGACTGTGCACGCAAATCAAAAAAAGCTAAAAGAAGCTATTTGAAATTACGAAATACAAAATTAATAATTAAAACTCTAGATGATCTATTGGATCATTATATAATTAGATATTGATATTGGAGTAACTTTGTAAGGTCGTCAAGGAACCATTAACTAGGAAAAATATTAGTTGAAGAATAGTTGAAAGTGTCAAGGATAGTAACTTGATACTATTCCTTTTGTTAATGTAATACTCAAAAGTACTTTTTCAAAATATTATCCAAACGCAGTTTATTTCTCAAATATTATAAAAAGCAATTCTCAAATAAATTTTGCCAAGTACAATCCTTCAAAAATATTTTTCTCAAAACGCTTATCAAAATAAGCAATTTTTACTAACTTGACCAGATGGCAGGGACGGATCTATGTATCAATTTATGGTTCTCAAGCACCCATTAACCCCAACGTGAGCTCTGGCAGTTATATCGTAAGTGCAAAGTTTAATATGCAGTGCCTAGTAACGAAAGGAACCGGGGCTGCTTTGGATCAATGGCGGAAGTTAAGGCTTTGCGACGTCTAGAGGTGGCTGAGTTTGATTCTTACGCTTAGCAGTTTTTTTTATTTTAAATTTAGCTGCTTTGGATCAATGGCGGAAGTTAAGGCTTTGCGACGTCTAGAGGTGGCTGAGTTTGATTCTTACGCTTAGCAGTTTTTTTTATTTTAAATTTAGCTGCTTTGGATCAATGGCGGAAGTTAAGGCTTTGCGACGTCTAGAGGTGGCTGAGTTTGATTCTTACGCTTAGCAGTTTTTTTTATTTTAAATTTAGCTGCTTTGGATCAATGGCGGAAGTTAAGGCTTTGCGACGTCTAGAGGTGGCTGAGTTTGATTCTTACGCTTAGCAGTTTTTTTTATTTTAAATTTAGCTGCTTTGGATCAATGGCGGAAGTTAAGGCTTTGCGACGTCTAGAGGTGGCTGAGTTTGATTCTTACGCTTAGCAGTTTTTTTTATTTTAAATTTAGCTGCTTTTTATGTTAGTAAATATTTTACCAACGACGCCGAATTTGCTACTTTCCCACAATGCATCAAATTTTCCTTCTTTTCCTAATTCCAAATCTATGCATTATTATGGTACTAATATATCGTCTTCTGTTGCTTTTTTGAGCCGAGGGTCTCCTGGAAACAGCCTCTCTATCCTTCGAGATAGGGGTAAGGTCTGCGTACATATTACCCTCCCCAAACCCCACTTGTGGGATTATACTGGGTCGTTGTTGTTGTTGTTGTTGTTGTTGTTGTCCTAATTCCAAATCTAACCTTATTCTTTCCATTGCTGACATCTCCTTGTTGTTATGTTTTTGCGTTTTCTTTTTCATTTATTTGTCTCATTGTGGCGCATAAAAGGGAAAAAATAAGAACTAAGAATTTTATTAAAGCTAGAGAAAAAGAAAAAAACTTGTCTCTCTCTTAATATTTTTGTTAGTTCGTATGAGCCCACCAAACAGTAAAGTACTTGGTCCTCTATGAGATTTTACTGAGAATGCTAATAAATCAGTAAGTAAATAAGACACGGAATTTTTACGTGGAAAAATCCCAACTCAAGGGGACAAAAACCACGACCTACACTTGTAGGCTTTCAACTTCACTAACTTGTGAACACCTATTACAAGCCACTTTGTAATGACTCCATTACAAAGACTTTAACTCAACTAACTTGTGATACTCTTACCACAAGTCACTTTGTGACTCTCTAGTTACAAAGATTTTAACTTATAACTAACTCTAGTCACAACACAAACTCAGAGAGTTTATGGATTTTACAAGAGGGTTCCTAATCAACGCTTCTAGCAAAGCAATTTAGGAGATAAAATAAGAACAATCACAAAGTTACAACTCAACTAAGGACAACAAAATACTAAATTTAGGAACTGGTCCGTAGTAGCGTTTTAACTTTGTTCTTCAAGCTCTTGAGAATTAAGTTCATTGTTCTACCGAAGACTTGAATGAATTCTCAAGTTTTCAAGTGATGTTTTGATATAAACTCCTTGTTAATACACCTTGATGACATCACTTGAATGATGTAAGCACTTTAGTTGGTCAAAGAATAAGTGGCCACCGGAAACAGTGCAGTGCAGGCAGAAACAGTGCAGGCAGTCATGTCATTTCCATCTGTGTCCAATTGACTTCGTACTGCTCTGAGGGAACTACAAGGGTATCAGGTCCTTGTTTGGTTCTCTATCTCCTGAAGCTATAGCAGTTCACATTTAGCTGGAATCCGTTAACTTGAAATGTAGCCCAAGTGTGTTAGGTTCCCTATCTGGTCCTTGCCAGTAAGTTTGTTAGATCATCAAAATATAAGGCAAAGACATTGAAGACCCATCAATTTTCCCATTTTTGATGATGACAAACTTAGACATTGATAACATGTATTTAGAGTAAGGAGAACCAGATAAAGTAACATGAGCTCACAAATTCCCCCTAACTTTATGCCTTCCCCCTTAATCGGATCCTTGATTCAAATTATACTTCTCAAATTTTATCAGTTTATCTACAACTTATATTCCCCCTTTTGACATTATTAAAAAGACACAAGCAGTCAAACAGCATAAAGAAGTCTAGCCGAGCTAACTCATGTCACATATGTGCACACAACATGATAGATAAGATAATCATAAAATTCAGGCAATAAGAGAATAAAAGAGGATAGATTTTATATAGATAATACTACTAGAAAATTGCAAATTTCCAGGGAAATATCCCAAAGATATATTATCAGTGGCAGTTCCCATTGAAATATAAAAAAATTCAGTGGGAAATGAAAAAGTTTTCTTTTACCTTTTTCTTAAAAATGTTCCCACAGACTATAGGTGAAAACTAGTTGGCGCAAAAAAGTACGTAATTTGTTTCCCACCTAATCAGTGGGAATGTCATTAAAAATAAATTTATTAAAATCTACCTAGTGAAACGATGGGAACCTAAAATAAAACATAATTTTAATATTCCTATTGATGCACTGGGAAGCTCAAAATTTCGAACTGTTGTATTTGGTCCAAAAACCCGCAAGCTTAAAATTATTTCACCAAAAAAATTGAATTTATAGAAGACAATTCCCACAAATTTTCCAGTAGATCAATAGGAAAGTATTTTCTATTACATTAGGTATACCCTTTTTTCTTCTCTTTTTCAATCTCATTCTTTTCTTTCTCTCCATTCTCTTGGCAGACCGACTTTCCCCCATTTTCAGAAATCAGAGCTTTCACTAAGCTCATGCAAAATCGGTAAGACCCCCCTCCCTCTCTTGCTCGCTCGCTCCCTCCCTCCCCATCTTTCTCCCTTTTCTGATTTTACCTTAAATGTCTAAAAATCTAGGGTTCCTCCATGCCTAGTAATAAATGTTTGTAATCTTTTCCAGTTGATGTAATTTATGTTTTGGTAGCTAGATTTTATTTTCCAGTTGCTCTTTTAATACGGACTAAAGTTTTTCGAAATTTTTCTTTAGTTTTTGTTATTAGTTTTGAGTTGGTGGATGGATTATTGATGATCTTTTTGAGTTCCCTCCACTGGAACGAGGAAATCAGATCTTTGATTGAAACTTCTCAGTTTTAGGAGAATCTCTTTACTTCTTGCTGACAATTTCCAACTAGTATCATGCCATTGTCTCAATATGAGAATGATATGGACAGTGAATTTACCTTATTCTGCCAAAATAAGTCATTAGTGTTTTCTAATGAGAATTTGTAAATGAGCGTTGTTAACGTGTTAGATTACAGGAATGTGTTGGTGTAATGGTATTACCGATGGGGTTTATTTTGCATTACTTCTTGATTCTAATAGAAGTAGAGCTTGTTTTGCCCTTACCTTCGTGAAATTACAGCAGAGGATTCTCTTGTTTTTTACCGTATTTTCGGGCTTAGATGTCTGATAATGGGACTGTCTCTTTATCTTTCTCCACTTAAATAAAGGTTGTTGTCTGTGGTAGGGTTTGAACCTATGGTGTGCATTTGATCTACTGAAAATCAAAGTCCTGGAGTCTACGGTGAAGCCATTTTTCAGCTTCTCAAATCAGGTTATAATTCTTGAGGTAACTTCATTTGCTAATCTCTAAGTTGGTTTCAGTTGTTAAATACAAGTTAAGCTGTTAAATTGCTAGAACAACTACATAAATTTATATTGCTTTTACCTTGATAAAAAAATCCTTTATTGTAAATATTATATTTATCCTCCAAGTTTAAATTTATTTATGGATGATAGCAAATCTGTTAGAATCTTGGTTTGACTTTTTAAACTGATTCCAAGAACTTAATAGGAGCATTTTTATGAAAAAGTACTTTTCATTCATAGTAACTTGATCTAGAACTATAGTTTTTTCTTTACTTATAAAAAGACGAATAAAAGTTAGTTCTTTAAGGTATACTATTCATAATTAATTTTAAACTAAGTGAGTTCTTTAAGGTATACTATTCAAGATTGATTGCAAACTAACTTGAAACAAATAAATCGTTCTAAGTCTATTCATTTGTTTGTGTGTATTTGTTTACTAGATGGAACGTGAACATCGTAGATGGATGTACGATAGGAATCGTCCTAATCGTTGTGGATTAAAGGAAGAATTTGTTGAAGGTGTTAAAGGATTTATTGCTCATGCAAAAATGCTTCCTGAATTTCGTAACGAAGGAATAATTAGGTGTCCTTATGTGAAATGCAAGTGTACAAAGTTATTGCAATCGGAAATGTTAAAGTTCATCTTTATAGCAAGGGGTTTAGGGAAAATTATTATGTGTGGACCGTTCATGGAGAGAACTATTGTAGTGTTGGTGATTTTTATTTTCAAAATCTAGTTAGTGGTGAGAGAAGTACACAAATGGAGAATAATGTTGAGAATTCTCAATTACATGAAATGGTGTCAGATGCTTTTGGTTTTTACTCAGGGTTTCAATCCCAACAAAATGTTGTTGAGCCTCCCAATGATGAGGCAAAGCGCTTCTATGAATCATTAGAATCGGCTAGTCGTCCACTCTATAAAGACTCAATGCACTCTGAGTTATCTGTTGCAGTTAGATTACTAACTATTAAATCATATTGAAATATTTCTCAAGCGGGCATGAATGCTATAATTTGGCTCATGTGTGAAATTAATCCTAGCATTAACTTACCCAATGATTACTATAAAGCAAAGAAATTAGTTTCCAAGTTAGGACTTTCCTCAACAAAAATTGATTGTTGTGAAAATGGTTGTATGTTATTGTAACGACCTGACTGGTCGTTTTGCTTTTTAGAATACCGTTCCCCTAAATAAAATTTCCAGCTCTTGCTTTAACTAACTTACGACCTGCGGGAAGAATTGGTTCGGGATTTGGAAGGAATTGGGTTGAAATATGCTCATTTGATTCCTTAAGATTTTCTTTAAAGCCTAAGTTTGACTTTGGTCAATATTTTTAGGGTTTAAAAGGCGATTTGATCGCTCGAGCTAGTTTGTACAATGTTGTTGGACTGGTGTGGGAGTTCGGAGTGGATCCCCGAGGGCTCGGGTGAGTTTTGGGCATGGGTTTGGGGTGAAAAGCACCCCAGTTTTCTGGTGTTTCTGTGAGAAATTGCAGGTCTCGCAAATGCGAGGAATTTGTTTGCAATTGCGACCTCGCATTTGCGAGGAAACCACCGCAATTGCAATAAAGGCAGCAAGTGGGCAGCGTCGCATTTGCGACAATTTCACTGCAATTGCGAACCCTACAGGGTCCGCATTTGCGACCCCAGGATCGCATTTTGCGATGAAAGTAGGAAGGGAGGCAGTTTGCAATTGCGAAGATTTTGTGGCAATGGTGAGTTCGCATTTGCGAACCTGATGTCGCAAATGCGACATCAGAGACCTGAGCACAACTTTTAAAAACAAGACTTAGGCCATTTATTTCATTTTATCTCCACACTTGGGCGATTTGGGAGCTTTCAAAGAGGGGATTTCAACATAGCATTGTGAGGTAAGTTAATTCTACTTAATGTGAGTTTAATACTTGGGTTTTGGGTAGATTAATGCACAAATATTTGTGAAAACTATGGGATTAGGGCAAGACCTAGGGTTTTGATAAAATTTAGATTTAACCACGAAATTTGTTATGAAATGAATTAGAAATCATATATTATTGATCCTTAGGTTATAGAGAACAACTTCCTTCGAAAATTTTTGGAATCCAGGCATGTGGGCCTGGGGTCGAATTTTAGGAAACTGTGTTTAAGGTTGGAAAATTGCTTAAATAGCTAGAATATGATCTTGTGAGCTTATATTGACTAGTTCCTACCTTATTTAACTAGTTTTGGATCGTTCGGCTCCAAATTGAGTGTTTGGGCTCGTTCTTGGTATTGAAAATACACTTTGGAGCGAGGTAGGTCTCCAAGAGTGTAATAATTGAATAATTTGCTACTAAATACGGGGACTACGTACGCACTAGGTGACGAGAGTCCGTGCGTAGCTACTATTATGTTAATTGTCCGGGTAGTCTAGGGCTCGTATCATGCTATATTTGTGAATGTCTCTATATTTTCTTGCTAATGTGATCACTTAGGATATGCTAGAAACTTGGAAAGGAATATAAGCAAATGTATACACTTGTTGGACACTTGTATGAATTTTTTTGAAAATAAATGTGCCTTCATGTGTTTTTCTTGGTATTAATTGATATTTGTGGATTGGGCCGATCGCCTAGGTAGAAATAAATGCATCTATGGCTCGCTCCATTCGACCCTCTGGCAGTACACAGTTTATTTTCTGTTAGATCGGGCTGTCGACCTTGGCATAATGTGCGCATGATATCTACGTGAAATCTTATCCATGACTTGTTCTGCTAAATATTTGAAATGTAAATGGCTAACTGTAAAATTGTTAAGAACATGACTTATTACCTCTTGCTACAAACTGTTGATTATTTCTGACTCCCATGCTTAGAATAACACTTTATTATATTATTTGGCCTTAGTAAGTATCAAGTCGACCTCTCGTCTCTACTTCTTCGAGATTAGGCTGGATACTTATGAGGTACATATTTTTTATGTACTCATACTACACTTTTGTACTTAATTGTATAGGATCTAAGGCAGGTACATCTGGCTATCAGTCTGGTGCGCGCCCCTGATTCATAGTCCGAGACTTCCACGGTGAGCTGCCCCTTCCTGTGCCGTCTAGCAGCCTGATGGAGTCTTTCTTTACTTTTGATATATATTCTATTTCGGACAGTAGGATAGTTTTATTCTTTTGTACATTCTGCTAGTTGCCTACTACTTGTGACACCAGGTCTTGGCACACACATTAGCAGACTTTCATTTTGGGGTTGTATGATTACTTTTGGCACATTACTATTAATTTCTGGTTTTAACTTTAACATAAGGAATTGCTGCACTTATTTTTGGTGAAAGTAAAATGAGAAATTAATTATATTTCCGCGTTGGCTTGCCTGACAATGGTGTTGGGTGCCATCACGATCTATTAAGGAAATGGGTCGTGACAGTTATATTATATAGATGATGCGGCTCTAGAAGCGTGCAAATTTTGTGGACTGTATCATTTTAAGGAAGTCACAAATGCCAAAGGTAAGAAAGTTGCAATTAAGAAGATACATTACTTACCAATTATACCTAGACTAAAGAGGATGTATGCATTAATGAGTTCTGTTCCTCATATGAGATGGCCCCATGAAAATAGAAGGTTGTCTGGTATTTTGTATCATCCTTCAGATGGAGAAGCGTGGAAGCATTTTGATAGGATGTTTCCAGACTTCGCTAATGAATCAAGAAACATTAGGTTGGGTTTCTGTGCAGATGGATTCACTCCATTTTCTGTCTCTGCTGCACCATATTCATGTTGGCCTGTCTTTGTTATGCCATATAATCTTTACCTGAAATGTGTATGACAAGTCCATATTTGTTCCTAACTTGCATAGTTCCGGGTCCAAGTAATCCAAAAGGTTTAATTGATGTATATTTGCAGCCGTTGATTGATGATCTAAAATTATTGTGGCATGAAGGTGTTGAAACATACGACATATCAACTAAGCAAAACTTTAGATTGTGTGCTACTTTGATATGGACTATTAATGATTTTTCTGTGTATGAAATGTTGTCTGGATGGTCGACTACGAGAAAGTTATCTTGCCCCTACTGTATGAAAGATACAAAAGCATTCACTTTGAGGCATGGAGGTAAAAACACATGGTTTGACTGTCACCGGCAGTTTTTGCCAATGGATCATGAGTTCAGGAGAAATACTAGTGCATTTATGAAGAATCAAACAGATTATGATGAGCCACCACCAACCTTGTCAGGTGAGGAAATTTGGGATAGGGTTAAAGATCTACCTAAGGTAACGGAGTCTCCATCTGCTAGAATACCTGGTTATGGCATTTAGTATAATTGGACTAAACAAAGCATATTATGGGAGTTACCTTATTGGAAGCATAATCTTCTTCGACATAATTTGGATGTCATGCATATTGAAAAGAATTTTTTTGATAACCTGTTTAATACTGTTATGGATGACAAGAACAAGACAAAAGATAACTTGAAAGCCAGGATGGATTTACAGGAATACTGCAGGTGAAGAGAACTAGAACTAAAAGAAGTAAATAACAGGATGGTGAAGCCTAAGGCTAGTTATACATACACTTTGGATGATAAATGAAAGATCTTTGACTGGGTTAGGAATTTGAAGATTCCCGATGGGTATGCATCAAACTTATCCAGGCATGTTGACATGAAAGAAGGAAAGTTGATGTATATGAAAAGCCACGATTGTCACATTTTATTGGAATCATTAATTCCTATTGCATTTAGCTCATTGCCTGAGAGAATATGGAAACCCATCACAGAGATAAGCTTGTTTTTTAAGGACTTGTGTTCTAACACATTAAGGGATGAAAACCTAATTTTCATGGAAAGTAATATTCCTTTAATCATAAATAAACTAGGGAAAATTTTTCCATGTGGTTTCTTCAATGTAATGGAACATCTCCCAATTCACCTTGCACAAGAGGCACGACTTGGAGGACTAGTTCAATGTAGATGGATGTATCCCTTCGAGAGGTAATGACCATTAACTATTTTCTCTTTATGTATTTTGGTAAAAAGAATTCCTATCTAAAAGTGTGCTATGCAGGATTATTGGCAAATGTAAATGGACCGTGAAACAAAAGTCCAAGATTGAGGGATCAATATGTGAAGCGTATCTAGTTAGAGAAACCTCTCATTTTTGTTCGTATTATTTTGAGAATCATGTTTCATGTTTGAGAAATAGACCGAATTGGCATGATGAAGGCGATAATGATCCTTTGGAACCTTCAATATCCATATTCAATCAATTGGGTAGAGGTTCGAGAAAAAGTCATAAAAGAAGTTGGACTAATAAGGTAAAAAAATCGGCTACAACACATGTATTACTGAATTGCCCCGAAGTTCAACAATTTTGCAAGTAAGTTTGGAATTATACTATTGACCTATGTGCATAATCTATTCTTCTTTTAACTAATAAACATTGTAAAATGTCTGATAGTTACTTTGTGAGTCAGTTCGGCCATGATAATGTTTATCCCAGATTTTCAGAGTGGTTTAGAGACTATGTAAGTGTTAATTAATATGTAATAAAAAATTTATTATTTACACACTATATGATTTTCTAACTTCTCGATTTTCTTCAACTCTATATAGGTTCATAATCCAAAAAATGGTATATGTGATCCTTTTTTACATGATATAGCTTGGGGACCTACCCCACAAGTCAAAACCATGTCTACGTATTTTGTCAATGGATACAAGTTTCATACAGAAGAATGGTCTAAGAATAAGAAAACCATTAATAGTGGGGTATGAGTGAAAGGTGGTGATGGTGACCAAGGTGGGGATATTGACTATTATGGTGTGCTCCAGGAGATTTTAGAAATAAAGTATGTTGGTTGGCCAAAGAAAAGGTTGGTACTTTTTCGATGCAAGTGGTTTGATCCCATACCAAATAGAGGTAAAAAGGTACACCCAAAATACAAAATAGTAGAAGTTAAGCATGCAAAGGAGTATGAAAGCTATGATCCATTTGTTATAGCACAAAATATGAAGCAAGTGTATTACGCTCCTTATCCGTTGACATGTAAAAATAAGAATGAATGGTGGGTAGCTATTAAAACTAAGCCAGTTGGAAGAGTGGAAGTTGAGGATTCACTAGTTGTAGAATACCAAAATGATATATCAAGTGTTCAACAAATTGTGGATAATGAATTAGAATATGAGCTGCATAGTGAAGGCATATACGAAGAAGTTGACTTGTTAGTTGAACAAATTATGGAATTGGGACATCTATGGCCAATGCGGAGGAAGATTCAGGTGATGAAAATGAATTCATTGAGGAGAAAGAATTTTTTGATGAAAATGAAACAAGTGAGGAGGATGAAACTGATGATGAAAATATAGCAAGCGATGACGATGGAATGGATGAAAATGAAACAAGCGATGATGATAATTGACATGTTTGTTTTTTCTAACTTATGTAGTAATTATGCTTTTAAATTTGTTGCTAAGAGAATTAACATGCTATTTATTTCTTATGCTTGTATTATTTAGATGGCTGCTGGAGGTAAATCAAAGAAGAATAAACAACTTTCACGTAACTTAGGTCGTCTCCCTACCTCTCCACCATCGGCACAATCTGGTCCACATGTGCCTCCACCTACATGCCCGTCTTCAGTTCCAACTCCCTTATAACTCTATATCACACCTAGGATATACTGCTCCGTCCTCTACCCCTTACTATTATTACATGTCTTCCCAAGACATAAATGGGATGTTTTCATCTAGACCTGCTTGCCCATCTATGCCTATGCCTAGACCTGCCATACCCCCATCATCTACTCCAGTCATTCCATCACACGGCATTCAATCGTCATCGTCTCCCGTTATTCCTTCATTATATTCCCCTGGCATAGCCTCTTATTCTACCCCTAGAATGCCCACATCTTCTAGTCGGCCTCCAAAGCATCCTTTCATGCATTCATTTGAATCTATACATGCTCAGGATCCTCCAAATATTGGTGTTGATATCCCTCCGAAGTCCCCATGCATTGATAGTGATTTAGTTACACAGCCTCCTATACATGCTCAGGATCCTCAAAATGTTGGAAGGTTAGATGATCTCGGGAAGTTGATTATCATTCCCCATAAAGCTGGGTAAGTATTATTTGTTTATTTTCTAATTAATTATAAATCTGGTTTCTAACATGTTTAATTTAATGCAGGTTTCATCCTTGTACTCAAGCTACAAAAGTTGTGGTTGAATCAATGTGTTCATTTTATCATGGACCTTGGAGGTTCTGGTCAGATGTTCCATGGAATATTAGGGATAGGATGTTTGATGAATTTAGGGTAAAATAAATTATTTCATTTTTCAACTCATATTTAACCAATCTAACAAATTAATTATTTGTAGATGAAGTGTGCTTGGCCAGTTGAATGTGAGGTATAGGTACGAGGCATCTTTTTTAAGAAATGTGCTGATAGGTTGACTGATATGCTTCGAGAAGCTCGAAATAAGAAAGAGATTCCAAGTTGGATTACTGAGGATATATGGACTAAACTAACTGAGTATTGGGCCTCTGAGGAATTTAAGAAAGTGAATTGGCAAAGGCAACCCGTTTGTCCGACAAAGGTGGCTCCATGCACACGGGAGGTTCAATAAGTATTGGGGATCATCGAAAAAGATTGGTATGTGTTTATTATACTAGTCGATGAACGTCNCATAGCTCAGGTCGGAGCAAGGTGCCATCGGACGTTCAACAGGTAGTCTCACGATCGGGCACTCATGCCCCGACATTGTCATTGTATACTCCCGCGGGTCGGAAGGCGGCGGGGGAAGGAGGGGGACACTGGGCGAGATCTATCAGCAGCGAATTCCCCATACAAATAGAGGCACCTATCAAAAAGATACTTCGAAGGCTTCGGGATCGAGGTCTCATTAGCCGAAGAAGACCCTGGCCAATCCACGTGGCCTGCTTGACGAACGTCAGCGACGGAGACATCGTAAATTGGTCCGCGGGCATCGCGATAAGTCCTCTGTCCTACTACAGGTGCTGCGACAACCTTTACCAAGTCCGAACGATTGTCGACCACCAGATCCGCTGGTCTGCAATATTCTAGTCCTGTGTTTATACAATTAAGTTACTTATAAGGTAATTACTATAAGTTCTTTTTTGCTTCTGCTTTTCCTGAATCTTGCCAATGTACACATATGAGCCATCATTAGATATTCTACAAGAAAATGGCTCTTTAACACAATTTTCTTGTGGATGAATTGTTCTTATATATATATATATATATATATATATATCTAATATATGTACAATTCTTCATGAGGTAATGGTTTAAAAAAAGAATTTATGTTCATACCTTAATGCGGAATTTATGTTTCTTGAAGCAACAAGGCTGCTACTGAGAATAGAACAAGAATTTCTCCATGAATGTCATTGCTTTGAAAATAGAACTAGGTTCCGAGAAGTAGTAGTGACAATTTGATATACTATAAATGTTTCAAAGTTCTCCTTTTATTTCTTCTTATGGACTTTAATTAGTTATCTTTGTATGTTATCTCATTCTTCACAGAAGATTGTTTCTGATGATAAATGTTACTAATATAATAATTGGTCCAAAATGGTTTCCATTTTCAAACATATCTGGATGGAGGTTGATGTTAGTCAGGACGGCTTTTCAATCAGCATATATGATCATAATGTCTGTTTACGCCAGTGATATTTGGAAGTGAACTGAAAAACAGTGCACTTAAAAGATAGTTTAATGTACTTATGTTAAATTCATGTTTGCTGAACCCATTCATGGCTGCTGAACCCATTCGCTGCAGAGCTACAATTTATATTGACACAACGTTTGAGGAATAGCAGTTAAGATCTAGTTGGAAGCACTACAACCAGTTAGTTAATGAAAAGCCTTTGGCTCTTTTAGTAATAGCAGTTAAGATTTATATGATTGACAAATTGTGTTCCTTAAGATTCTTACAAGTGCATCTCTTCTACCTCCTTATCCTTTTTCTGCTTCGTGTACACAATTATTTTTTCTATTCATCTTTGAAGTTCGGATGTCCTTCTCAATATCCATCTACACGTGGATTTAAGCTTTTTCCTTTCAAATCTTGAATTATACAGCCTGAACAAGCCCTTGCTTAACTATTTCTTGAAATATCCTGGTCTACAGTCGATTTTTTCTCTTTTTTTGGTCTGCCTTATGAGCTAGCATAAAATGCAGTACACAATGGCTTTTTTAATGAAATTGTGCAAAAAGGGCAAGTTTCATGGATTTCTTACTGATATTCTTGCTGCAGAAGGCAGTTTTGAGACATGAATAGCCTTTCGCTTTTGGCTATGATACTTTATGTAATGCCAAATATGGTTACTTGTTAACTTAAGTTTTTCCCTGTTACTTATTACTCCCTACGTTTCACATTAAATGGGTACTTTCCTTTTTAGTCTGTTCCAAAATAAATGACATATTTCTAAATTTGAAAATAATTCAACTTTAAACTCTTTCATTTTACTCATTTATCCTTAATGAGAAGCTTTTATAGCCACACAAATGTCATGGCCCCACAAACTTTTTACCCCTTAAGCTTTTAAGACCACAAATTTCAAAAGTCTTCTTCTTTTTTCTTAAACTCCGTGCCGCGTCAAACTACCTCATATAATATGAACGGAGGGAGTACCTTTTTGGAAAAGAGTATGTGATGCTTTATGTGATTTAGTTCCTGTAGCAATTTAAATCCAGATTAGTCTTTCTGTTTCACAGTTCTTGTCGAGCACTCTATAAGTTCTATCCATTACTTGTATTCTCTTATCCATTGCTTCCTTGAATTTTCAAGAATAGAGAACCATTTCATGGGCATAGCACTTTAATTTTGCTTTTTCCATGTTTTATTTAACAGGAAAAGTCTTTAAGAAGACCAGCTACTCAAGATGAGGTATTTGAGCATACACATATGAAGAAGCTAAAGGATGGAACAAAGACAACTTGGATTGAGCCACGAGCCGAGACAACCTATGTAAGATTTCAAGTTACTTTTTAATACTTTTCATTAATTAAATTTATTCATATAATAGTTGGTAACTTTTTTGCAGAATACTTTCAAACAATCCTTGGAGGAGTTCATTCAAAGCCAACCAAATGATGATCAAGGAAAGCCAATCCAACCATCCCAGGAGAATTATATGGACTTGTGGATTAAGGCGGATGGTGGCGTACATAAGGGAAGAGTTTACGGCCTTGGATCAGAGTTTAGTTCTAGTCGTCGATCTTTTGGATCCGGTGGCTCTTCTTCTTCAAGGTCCTCAATTAATTAGGATGAGTTTGAGCTATTGTATAGAAGAATAGCAGAGATCACTGAGTTGTATGCACAGGAAAGGGTTGCGCGGGAAGAGGAGGCAAAGCGAAGGGAGGAAGAAGATAGGCGGAGGGAGGAAGAAATGAGGCGAAAGGATGTTGCATTTACACGTGTCACGGGTGACGTTAAAAACCTCAAGGCCCAGCTAAACTACCTCTTAGCAGCTGGTGCATTTCCTCTACCATGTTCTCCATCACACTCTAACAAGACTAAGGAGTAGTTTCTTTTATTAATATGATTTTGGGTGGGACTATGATGTTGGATATTATGTATCAATTAGATAAGATTGAATGTTGAATTTCTTATTTGAATGTTTAGTTGCATTATTGGTTTCTAGTATGTTTAGTTTTGGTTGGTTGTTAATTAAAGAAATGGATCGGAAGATGCTGATTTTTGTGTGTGAATGTTTAATTGTATTTAGGTTGTAGGTGGTTGTATTTTTTGTTTGGCAAGTGGTGCAGTATAAAAAGCAACATTGTGCACAAAAATAATTTCTAGATTTCCCACGGAATTGCCACTGATTCTGTGGGAAGGTTCGTCACTATAGTTGTAGAACTTGCATATTTCCCACTGATATCGGTGGGAAAGTTCATATTTTTTTTTAGAATTTGCATTTATCTCACTGATATCGGTGGGAAAGTTTATACTTTTATTTTCAGAATTAACACATTTCACACTGATATCGGTGGGAAAGTTTATACTTTTATTTTCAGAATTAACACATTTCACACTGATATCGGTGGGAATGTTCATACATTATTTTTCAGAACTTGCATATTTTCCATCACTGGGAAAGTTCATACTTTATTTCCAGCTTCCCGTGCATTTTTCCCATCACTTCCCTGGCTAATGTATTAAACTTAATAAAAATTACTAATACTATTTCCCACTGATTGTTGGTGGGAAATTTCATTATTTTTCCTATTAAAGTTTCTCTGGGAAAACCGTGGAAAACTTCCCACCGCTTCTCTGGAAAGATATTTCCCACCAAGCATTTTCCTGGTGACTCGTTTCAGTGGGAATGTGGTGTGAAAACTCAATTTTCCCACCAGTTTTTCACTGATTTCGCAGTGGGAAATCCATTTTTTTCTAGTAGTGTAAATATATATGCCTTTGCTTAAAAAGGAAAGACAAAATTGGACTGTTAATGACGGGAGCAGTACTGTTACATCCCAACCACATCAAAAAAAGAAACAAAACATCTGCCAAAAAAAAACTTAAAAGAACATTCCAGAAACTGGTCACTGAAGTGGTAATTAGGGGGTAGTAGGAGTAGAGGGCTTGGAGGCTGCAGCAAGAGTTTGGAGAACTAGGTCTATTCGGGCATTGGCCGACTTTTGCTCATTGAGCAGTTCTACTTTCAGGTTCTCCACTTGCGCCCTGAGATCAGTATTCTCTTTTGTCAAACGAGTCACTTCATCATTTGACGCCAGAATCCCTTGGGCTTGCTAACTTTCCAGGATAGCATTCCTAGCCTTCAATTGACGAATCTCCTCAGTTGCACAATTTTGAGCATTAATGAGCTGTGAGACGGTTGATGTACTGCCTATCCCTCCCCCCATTCTTTTCTATACACTCACATTCTGCTAACGTTGTTTGTAAGAAAGTCTGCTTCTTAGTTCCTACCTTGCCTTGCCCCAGCGACACCTTGAAGAACTTAAACACTTGCGTAAGCAGAAACCCGTATGGAAGACCATGATTACCATCCTTGAAGGTTGATACTTTTTGCATGTGTTAGATCATAATAGCAGGCAGGCTGACAAGGATAAAGCTATCCAGTTGTTCCATCAAAAACAGGTCAGACTTAGAGGTCATCGACCTCCTCTCAGCACGAGGCAATAGAACTTTGTTTACCAATTCGAAGAGCAGTTGATAAACAGGGAGTAATGCCTTCTTGTGGATCTGGCTCCCATTTTGGTTTGCATTGTCCTTTACCACAACATTCCGGAAATTATACTGACACGCATCCTTCACACTAGGCACACCAACTGTAGGGACTTTAAGAATATCCCCAAGAAAACCTACATCGAACACAATATCTACTCCATTCACCAAAGCACAAATATGGTCGGTCTCAACGGGAAAAAGGCTAGGAAAGAAGCTTTGAACCTCATCCTCAAACACCTTAGGTACATCCATTTGGAATAGATGCGCACATCGTTGAAACTCAACCATCTTAAGAATTTGTCGCATACCAGCCATATCAGAGATTGCTGGGTCAAACGTACGACCCAGCAGAACCTTTTGGTGCCTTAGGCGTTCTAAAGCAGAACTGCTTTCACTCCTCAGCTTTTTCATAGAACTAGGTTCCTTATCAGTTTCAAACTTTCGTTTACCAGACTTCCC